ACTTAGGCGTTTCAACTTGTCTTGATATCCATCACAAACCTGGTAAATGTTGAACGTGAGTAATGGGAGTCTTGAAACTCGACATTTTGCGGCCGCCATGTACGCTTCCTTCACACAATCTTCATAGGTTGTGTACTGAAACAAACAGATGATAACCACGTTTAAAAACATCTTAGTATGCGAATGCAAATAGAGAGTGTTTTCGTGGAACGGTTTCAACGTGCAATGCACTGGATTGCCTCCTTCCCAAGAGCATACAGGTCATTGTTTGTTTTTAAGAGGGATCCCCAAATCTTGGATAAAACTGTTATCATGTATGTTTTATATGATCGATTTATCTGGTCACTATTTGGAGGTCTTGTCTGTTTTTCTGCCACTCTGGATCTTACACTCCTCAGCTCTGATATTTCCCGGACGTGTGTCGAAACCTCAAGCAGTGCGCCCCAATTAAAGTGTACACACAGCACCATAATATCCGATGGTCGGAATTACAACAAGCAAAATTGTCTAGTCTCTCTTCTCACCTCTTGGCACTTGTCGTTGCCTTCATGTGGAATAAGGAAAGAGTTAACAGGGCAAAAGCTCAGAGCTATACTGAAGCTGAACACTAGGGTTAAAAAATATTGCATTTTCTTGCCTATAGCAGGCAACGCCTTCAATCTTTGCCTTGCACCGTTCAGCTGATTGCCGAAAGTGACACCCAAAATACGATGCCGTGTCTTTTATGTGGCAATGCACGCTGTTTAGCATGTATCAGATCACGTTCGCCGCGCTGCTCGTTGCTCAATATAACGGTACTTTTTTACTTATGGTGTTATCAGATTTGTGCGATATCTATACTTCCTGTTTTATACTTCCTGTTTTATCAGACTGGCACTGCGGTGCATTTCAAAAGGAGTAGTGCGAAACAAGAGTTTAATAGTCTCAGCTTCAATAGTTCAATAGTCTCAGCTTGTTTTTTTTTTTAGTGATGAAGAAGTCAGGGCCATATGTTTTACTGCCATGAAACACAGTTGATGATGCAACCACGAGAACTACGTATAGAAGCGAGTGTTTTCTAAGTCCTCTCAAGGTGTTTATGACGGTAGAATACATGACTGCAGCCCTAGAATATGACTTGCGTTATACATTTACATTCGCGTGAAACAACGCACGATTGTTAGTCATACTCTGAAAGATCAGCATTCTTTAAGCTGTAATCAGGGCGCTCGAGTATCCATTCTATCCATGACACACTTTGCGGTGCACCATTTTTCCAATAGACTGTTTTCGATATATTAAAATTCAGCTTGGCGGTGAGGCCTAGAGGATACAAACAAAGGAAATTGAATGCCCATGTTTATTCATCTCTTTTGTTTGTGTCCTCTAGGCCTCACTATCAAGCTAAATATTAATACATCGAAAGTGGCCTATTGTATAACACCGTCAGCAATGTCATAACAGAATTGAAACATATTATAAGGATGCGACTACTGCACCAGTGAATTGCCCTTAAATTAGCAAAGAAAAATATCATCTAGGTATTTTGGCGATGCAACCAAAAGGCTAATTGATACAGACGGTCTTAAGAGTTCACTCTTGACCAAAAGATCTTACCTCTTCGAAAACCCCACTGCATATTGTAAAGCACAGACTATATACTGACCGAAGGCACGTACGCGAAGTGTCAAGATCTTTGTTAGTCAATAACAGTTATAGGACTGTTTTAAAAGCACATATTTTACGTGTTTATTACACGGAGAGCTTGGGAACGCGTCCAGAACTCTGACAAAACATATTGAACCTTTCGGAG